CAAGCACCTGTTGTAAAAACATTACCCTCCTTCTTTGGCAGTCGGGTAAAAAGGAAAGTCCTCGTTATGCATATAAAAATACAACATTCCCGATTCACATGCATCTCATGATACTTACGTCAATAGAAACAATCGAATCAATTATTTATTAGTTTTCATTGTCCTCTGTACGATTTTTTGCCTCGTTTAATATTGAATACAAGGTCAAGACATGAGTAGCATCATATTAGTAACAATTGGCTTTCTGCCACATTTTTCTGCAACCTTTACATATTTTTTAAGGCTTTTTTGGACGCCATACGATTAAAACATAAAGGTCTGTGATCGATCTCCAAATTTTTTTTCGGAAAAACGAAAATCCTATGACCTTGTACTTTTCTTCTAAGAATTAAAAAAAATATAGTCACATGCCTTTTGATCTTTAGATACGTGAAGACAAAATACGAAGTATAAAGAGATTAATGTAAAGTTTAATCTTCAGTTTCAAAAAACGACGACGTTATGTTAATTAATTCATTAACACTTATGCTCATATAGGTATTATGTCATACAAAACAATGATTTAGAAATAAAGAAACAGCTGAGTGTTACATGGTAATCTTATCATTTTAACAATAAACTACTAGAAACTCTTTACAAATCATTAATATTTATCTTGAATACAATAAATATTTGAGTTATATCAAGGTTTTTATTGATAAAAATTCAATGACAAAGCGTGGCCACTTGGTAAGAAAAGTACTTATGAGTTAATTTACACGATTTATCAAAGAAAGTGTTATAAATATTAACCTATGTTATCACCTACGTCAAACGTTGTGGAATGCAATAAAAGATTTCATTGAATTGAAAGTATATCTGACTCTAAGTTTACAGACAGTGCGTTTTCTGAGTCTTCTTCTGTTTACCTTTAGAGAATTTCATTCGCGATATTTGGCACATTGATACCTCCTACAAAAATCTTCTCGGCTGAAGATTACGTCAGTTATCGTATAAACCAATCTTCAACGGATGATGTATCTTTATCGAATAGGTCTTGTTAGAACCGAAATATGTCTACGTATTCCATCATGTTTACAACTTTTTAGGTGTACATTCTGATAAATTAGAAAAAAAAATGAAGCATACTATCCTAAATTAGAAGTAATGAACCTGGAGTAGACAAGCATTCTCTTAGTCACCGAAAATGTTTCATAATGGCAAAGTAAACTTATGGCTGCTCAACTGACTGGTGCGTAATATGTCGAGGGTTGATTCCCATAAGTATGCATGCCGACAGGTAAATATATTCCAATATATTGCACCTTTAGAAATAAACTGTAATAAGCAAAAAACCGGGATTTTGACTTTTCGTCATAAAACGCATTAAAATCGTGTAGGGAATAAATACAACAGTCTAACAGGCAATTTCGATTTGCACGCGCAGAGTGAGATAGAGGTATCGTCTATCTTGGTGAGATAGAGGTATGTACGTCTTCTAAACAAATTGTGATTGTATTGAAAACATTCATATACCTATTGATAGCTAATTTCATTACTTACATTAACCATTAAACTGTCAAATACCAAGCGGTCACCGGTGACCGCAACCTATTGTTCTATAATTGTGTCTACAAAACCGGTACTCGACGAGTTAATTAGAATCATTGTAATCATAATCGTCGTTTTGTAGTTCGTAAAATATAAACCCAGTCATACTCGCAAAATTTTGACCTCATTTTCCCAACAATTTAAAATTTCACATTATTTCGGTTTATCATTAAAGGTGCGATATATGTATACCTACATTATTAGAAAATAAATGATTTCTTTCTTTCTTTCTTGATCATCATCATAGCAGCCACAGGACATCCACTGCACATAGGCCGTCCCTAAGTACCTATTCTTAGTGGTCACCATAAATTGCTATTGAGTCTAAAATTATGATATTTTTGTGAAATTATATGTTTGTAAACGCACGTGATACAATGACCAATGGTAGTGTAGGAACTTATTTTTTTTTCTCACCAGATATGTTAAAATTCTGTACAAATTTCAAACAGTCTGCATATGGCTAGTTCTTATAACTACACAATCTTCAAAGTTGGTATCTAAGACCTGATTTACTAGTGTTATGTTGGCGTGAACTAAGGACCGTTGTTTCCCATTTACAACAGGCAAGTGGGCAGAATGGGTTATTATGGTTGTCGGCGAGCAATAGACCTCGGAAATTATTGTGACTCTCTGTACGTACGGTGGCTACGTCTTAGAATGGAACTGTTTATCGCCAAGTTTATCTTTGTTACGGAATAATAATTTACGAAGAACTTATGGTCCTTTCATTTCATAACATAATAATATCACGCCTTTATCTCCAACGGGGTAGGCAGAGGTGCACGTTAAGGCACTGTACTATAATGTAATGTAATGCCAATGTACAATGTAACACCCACTTTTCACTATTGAGTCCCATGTAATAGAGGGTGAGCATTTTGCCCTATACCGGGCATAATTTCGGACTCCGCCCTATTGCTGGGAATGTTTTAAAAGCCTTTCATTTCATATGTCTTGTTCATAATGATTTGTATAAATTTGAGCACGAAGAAAAACCTACTTGATGCATGCATAGTGTGCCGATTTAGATCCCCGACACATAACCTGGATAAGAATATTACATTCTGGACAAAAACAAAAGAAGACAATAGAAAACGCGTTTTCTTATGGGTTTAAAACTATTCCAAATACCTTTAAAAACTTACATACCACCAAATTTCTAAAAAGCTATCTAAATGCCTTTTGATGCCAACGTAAGGTATGCCCGTGAAATATGAATAAAATTTTCATCAAAAATCTTTGGTGGGGTTGTGGTATTTACAAGTGCGACGGATATTTTCATCTCAATCTCATATGCGTGTTGGTGACCGTCTGGGTACGACGCGCGACGTGGCAGGTCGCGACACGACGGACGTATGCCACAGCCATTGCATTAAACATAAGCTGTATATAGGTAAATATACAATATAATATATTAAGGTTATTGACTAAAAAATGTTTGCTAGGTTCTTTAGTAAAAGGTTTATTTGAGTGCAATGTCATTTTGCGTACTTAACGCATCCTTTGTCAATAAAACGGTATGACACTCGGCCTTGAGTGTCATGGAGAGTTATTGGGGTTTCCGATTTTAAAGTGATTTTAGAATAGCATGAAGTTAAAGACTATACGATGTTTGGTTCTCTTTTTAACTTCGTGAAAGTAGTCCTTTTGATCGCAGTTATTTTTTTATTCCTATGGGTAAGGAGATTTCTAGAAAATTCTAAAGTGCTTTTTTGCAATGGAATCGGAGTTGTGTAGATAATGTGAAAAAATCCTAACAGCAATGAACAAGCTTGATTTCGGAACTCATAAACATAATATAATTTTGCTTTTATTCGTAATATTGCGATATACAAAGGCACGATGTCCAAATTCTATTGTAATCTATTCTAACATCAAATTTCTATGATAACACAGGATACATACAGAGGGCTCACTAATTAGCATACGTATTATATTCCCTATTGTTCTCATCTCTAGTTTGTTGTGAATGGCGCCTGAAAATAGTAGGTACCTACCTCTAACGTGACGTCACGCCTTATGTTCCCCGTAGCACGAAATTTTTGTAAAAAATGTGTACCTTGTGTGCCAGAGTGCAGATCTACGCAAGACACTATGCAAGAATCTTTTCTATTGTGTCTTATATACAAGCATTTTATATACATACTTATATAGAAGATTTAGAAATCGAACATACTAATAACGTTTTCTTTGACTGCAAGATTAAACTGTAGGTAAGTGTCGTGCTTGGTAGTCGATTATTGTTGTGCGACTACTTTAGAACAAATTCGCTCTGCTGGTTTAACAGTAACTTCTTCAACCCTTGCTCTGTTTACTCGATGTCAACCCAAAACAAGTTGGAAAATACGTCAGAAGAAATCATATACATAGTAGCTATGTAATATAAACAACCCACAAGTCAATTTACGCCATGAATAAAAGTAATAGTGTCAAACCATATTAGTGCTTGTTCTCTTTTGTACTCATTTCATGTCGACACATTTTTCCCCAAAGAGCGAATGAATAATGAGATTTCGTTTCTCAATATTATTGCAATTTCTGATAGATAATGGATTTCTACTGGATTCTCAATGGAAAATATAAATATAATATTGTTATTGGTTTTCATTAAAAAGGCCTAATAGTAAAAACGTAATTATATAGAGAAGTGAAAATGTAGGTTTGTGTCTTTAATTTATTTATTCAGATTTTTCCGAAACATTTCTGTCGCGAGCCTTAAAAATTTTTCGTGAAGCATGATCCGAATGAATATTACGTAACATCACACCATTTATCCCCGAAGGGGTAAGCAGAGGTGCACATTACGGCACCTTAATGCCACTGTACAATGTAACACCCACTTTTCACTATTTATGTTATGAGTCCCATGTAATAGGGGTGCGTCTATTGCCATAAACCGGACACAATTTCAGACTCCGTGCTACTACTGAGAATTTTAAAAAACCCAGTAGTACTTTGCCTTACTCGGGAACCGAACCCGAGATCCTTTGCCCGGCAGTCGCACTTGCGACCACTCGACCAACGAGACAGTCTGTTGCATTATCACGCAACATGATCCGAATGAATATTTCTAATTAAAATAATAGTAAACGTTATCATAGCATTCATATTAAATAACTCCAAGTGAGGACTGGAATAGTCTGAGAATTACATGAAATATGCGAGGTCACCAAACCCAATTTAATTATCACACCTCTGCCTGTTATTTTTGTTCAGCTGGCTGAAGTTGCGGTCAGAGCCGTAAGCGTTATGTCTGCTGTAGACTCGTCTCATGTCCACATTTGCATAGACGTCGACTAAAATATATGAAATTTACAACACGTCGCCAAACCGGCACTTGCCACTGCGGCTAGCTCCGTCAGAAAATTACCTTACAAATTAACCTTTTCATGAAATAAAACCAAACCTTCGAGTAATTTAATTTATTAGACTAGAATTATATTATAAAAAAGAAACTAGGAAATAAAGTCTTACGTTCAACATACAGTTGAGTCAGTATTGCATTTCAATTGCCTACAATAAATTCACATAACAGCTTATCATTCGAATACATTTAAAACTACGAACTGGTTAAAATTAAGTATTCTTTTCAATAAATATAAACGTGTTTTCACAGCCGCGACTCAAAATTCTTCAGGTACTTTGGTCATCTTAACAAATAATATTATTAAATTCTATCAATGACCTCTGGACCACAGTAACAAAAACTTTGAAGTTCCACTTCGATTTTCAACATTCTCAAAGGTTTCCATTGACGAAGGCGAAGACCTTTTGTTCAAATTAATTCTATGGCAGTACTCGGTACGATAAATTCGTGTAACAAGGCACTTTCAGTATTTATTAAGTAGTCACTAACTATTCTCGTTCTCCTTCGACTACACTTCTTTATTTTCGAAATAATTAGCATCGTGGGCTATGGAACTCATTGTCGTTTCGGCTCTTCTTATGAAACTAAACGTCTGTCTTTCCTGACAGAAGAGTGCAAAGCACTAGAGAGTATTTCCAAATATTAAGTAATTTGATTCCACCTAAATATTATTCAGTTCCTATGTTTCTGGTTGTTCGGCATCTACCTTCTTCTGTCTTTTTTCCTTGAGTAAAAGGTATATCATATCAGGGATCCATGTGACAAGAAGAATTACTAGCAGAACATTCTGTGCTGTGATACAAGTGACGTAACTTCCAGAGTAGTCTCTGATCCATCCAAGGAAATATCCAGCTGGGGGTACAATGATACCCATGGTCAACATGCCAAGTCCAACAGCAGCCGGTACTTGATCCATCCTGCAGTTTTCAGAAATGGCAATGTTCCTTGCCACGATGATCATACTTCTTCCAATACCATAAAGGCATGACATGAGAATCAATACTTCAATGTTGGTCTGGTACGCCAAAACTGTGAAAAATAAAAAATATTTTAGTCACTGAATCAACTAATAGATACGGGTACGACCGTAAAGGTGAGTATGCTTATCGAAGATCAAATTCCAGTCGATAATAGTTTTATCATGGACGTATAATTTTTCCATTTTTCTTGTTCGAGTCTCAAGTGGTAAAATATTGGATTAAGTGCTTGAAGAGATAAGTGTGATACGTACTTTGTCTGACAACGATGAGCCACGTGCATGTCATGATGAGCATCCACCTGGCCTTTATTTTATATTTGTCTTGGAAGACTGGTAAGATAAGACGTCCGGCGATGTCTGCGCCGGCGACTGCCGACATGCAGTTCGCAGTCTGCTGTTTGTCCATCGACGCTACATGCTGCAAAGATAATGACTTCATTAATAAACCCGGTTTTAATAATAGTATTAAGCAGTTACATCAGGTTTTTGATCTGCATCATTAACGTTATCTCTAAACTTTGGATTATGATACATGGATCTATTTGTTAATTCCTATTCTGTAATCTAGTGAACTTTGCGCATTTCTTGTTTAGTATTTCTTAATCATTTTAATATTGAATTATAAATCACGAGATTTGGCGAGGTTATTGTTATAATTGAACAATTAAAACAAATATGAGTTTGATAGAAAGTCACATTATAACATTAGCTAATGCTGGTAGTTCTATCGTTAACTACGTTGACTGCACGGTTGGTGCGGTGGCTGGGCAACCGGCTGCCGTGCAACGTGTCGCGGGTTCGATTCCCGCACGGAACAACACTTTGTGTGATCCACAAATTGTTGTTTCGGGTCTGGGTGTCATTGTGTATGTGAACTTGTATGTTTGTAAACGCACCCACGACACAGGAGAAAATCCTAGTGTGGGGCAACGTTTTTTAAAAAAAAAAAAAAAAACTACATAACATAACATAACATCACGCCTTTTATCCCAGAAGGGGTAGGCAGAGGTGCACATTATACCACTATTTTTATCTCTATATATTTAACTCTATATATTCTATCGTTAACTCTTGTTGAATATTTAGTTCTTGTAATCCCAACATGTAGTAAATTGGATTGGAGAAAGTCCGAAATAATGATATCATTCAAACTTCTCCACAAATATTTACGATCGGATACATGACACGTGTGTGTAGTAAAGAAAACGGGAAAACTTATGCATTCTAGATAATTCTAGTTACAATTTTCTGAACAAATAATAATTACCAAATAGATTATACTATCTTGTCTCAACATTAAATACAAAGTAATCATCACAGGGTTAGATGTGAAGTGATTCATATCAAATATTGATATAGAGCTGATCACACCCCTAATAAATGTTTAATGAACAGATAAATGTTGAGGATACTATAAATACTGATATGGTAGTGATCAAATAAGAATTGCTTCGTGTTATCAGCGCTCTGATCGAATTAACACACGTGCTTGTGCGTTGGAGAACACTCTGTATACATGTGGTAGTGAGATCACTTATGGTATGAGCCATAACAATGAGTTGTGACGTAAATAAAGAACGAGAGGTCCTTCGTGTCAACATTGTTGTTGTTTTCTTAGAAACAGGTAAAGTGCGAATATCGACCTTAAGGTTTTAATTCTAAGATTGATCAAGGTTATCAAAAATTTGCATCTATGTTCTGAATTTTGTGCAAGGTATTTTGGTCATAATTTTGCCCCTATTTCATTCGAATTTAAGATCTCTAATAAAAAAGTAGTATGTGAGGAGCACATCATGCGTATGACTTGTGATGATGAGTAGCAACTTGGACACTCGTATGAAGTCATATACTATGCAAAATGTGCTGATAAGTAGGCAATTTTCACAATTTTACTTAGAAGGCGTTTTCTGCAATATAAGTACGATTCCTTGTCAAAGTTGTAACAATGAACCTATTGTACTACAACAATTAATATACTTTGAATGAATCAAATATTGCGGAGTTTATTAGCATGTGCGAACAATATCAGGTAAGCCAGAATTAATAATATAAAAACGATAAAACCGCCTACATTAATAATCTCATTCGCTTTCACATTACACGTAATTATGTTTTGTGGGAACGTTTTATTTGAAATCCCGTTTTAAAAAACTTTATTAATTTTAATTTATTATGCCTACCGTATCGTGGATTTCTTTTGGAACCGTGAGTTTTCATCACTATTGTATAAAAGACATGATATTTTGCACTTATCTTTTCGGCAAAAAAATATGTAAATGTAAGATACAATAGAATCGTTCTAGGCCAATCTTAATTAACTCAATATTTTAAATACGAAAGTGTCTTTGTTGAGATTTCTCACCAAAAAAACTATGTACACATATTACTTTTAAAGTTTTCATATAATCAATTGTTTGTTCCGTCGAAACTGTTAAAAAACTAATGAACATTTTTCAGCAAGTATAGGATAGTGAACCGCCTATAAATAAATAAAATATCTTTGTATAAAAAGAATCTTACCTGTAGGAAGAATGGATACAGCATACTGAAGTTCTGTATCGACGTCACAGCTAGGGCTGTTCCAATGACGATGTTCAGGAACCTTATGTCAGACAGCAAGGCGATGCCAAAGAGGTCATATAGTTTCTTCATTAACGTCTGCTTTTGTGGACGGATAGCCGGTGTGGTAGCTGCTAAAACAAAGAAAATGCAAATTTATTTCTATGGATTAAACTGTCAAACACCAAGCGGTCACCGGTGACCGCAATCTATTGTTCTATAATTGTGTCTACAAAACCGGTACTCGACGGGTTAAGGTTCATATTACCTTAAAAACTGTTTCTCAGTGAACAAACCACGTGATGGTCTAAAAGACACTCATTAAGATACATACAGAAATTGACAACATTAGGTTATTAGGCTGTAACAGAAAACGTTCCAATGTATGTACAGTCAACCAGGTAATTCGATACGAAGATTCGGTAAGAAAATAAATACCATTTAGTACAGAGACAGTAATCATTTGTTAGCTAAAAGATATAACTTCTTGAACCAGTATACAATAATAACTCTTTTTTTTAAGGGGCGAAAATCATCGAATGACTGCTCCCGCCTGGGTGAGGCGGGAGGGAATACAATAATAACTCTAACGCTTTTATAATGGATCAATCTTTTTTCTCACTTGCATAATGAAATAACGTTTTCATACATTTCTACGTAAACAACGTACTTGTCTTTGTAGTACTTGTACTCATTGAATACAATAACAATGCAACGTGTATATTTTGAGTGAGAAAATCATTAGTTTTATCGTTATGTAGATGCATAAAGTATGGAGTACCACTAAATAACCGATAGCATAGTTGATAATGTTGTTATCAATGTTGTTTACCCCATGTGTTCTGTTTTTTATATGTGGTAGGTACATATTAGTTACTTTGTTGAGGTGACACAACAGTCAGACTTCAATTGAATATCAGTAAAAGACTTTTGACAAGTTGGATACCATGATGATATTACAATTTATTTTTCCTAGAAATAGTATAAATTCCTATAAGATCCTAGAGTTTGGCTATAAGGGCCTATTACATATATAATATTGACTGCTTCGTCGGCCGAGTAGTCGCAAGTGCGACTGCCGGTCAAGGGGTCTCGGGTTCGATTCCCGGGTCGGGCAAAGTACTACTGGGTTTTTATAAATTCTCAGTAGTAGCAAAAAGTCTGGAATTGTGCCCGGTATATGGCAATAGGCTCACCCCCTATTACATGGGACTCATAACATAAATAGTGAAAAGTGGGTGTTATATTGTACAGTGGCATTATGTACACCTCTGCCTACCCTTTCGGGGTTAGAAGGCGTGATGTTATGTTATTGGGCCTATAAGTTCCGACAAAATATTGATTTGGTCCGCATTCAGCTACTACTTACTGAACTAATTATGAAAAGTCATATAAGTACTTACCATTTACACCATTCGTTTCTGATTTATTTATTTTTCCACCATTTAGTTCTTTCTTGCTACCAAAGTTGGATTTTTCATTACCATTTTGAGCGTCTCCATTAGATTGTGATGTTTTACGTGTCTTGTCTTGTAGTAGGTGGAGATTTTCGTCTACAACAACTTCTTCTTCCACTTGTTTCAAATGCCATTCTACTGGTTGTATTAGAAGAGTACCGGCAATCTAAAATTGTAAAGAACAATGTTTAAAATAGTATTACCCATTACTGGTTGCTATTAACTTGGCCTCCCTTACTAGGATAAATGTAATACCTTCACCAAAGAGGTTATAGGAACTGATTTCAAATATTCATGTATTTCAATGTGGTTTTCCTTGTAGATTTAGAGCAATTAAAATTTAAAACAAACCTTCTTAAGTAATAAATAAGCTAAATGACCTTTTATACTATTTTCGAAAATGAACGGTGACGAAAATTAACTCAAGAAGATTTACGATAAATAAAGTCATTATACAAATCTTGATCTCAGATTATATTTAAAAACGTAAACAAGCAATAAAATAGCCAGTTACCCCGTGTAAACTCAAAGACGACAACATCAGGCACGCGCCGCGGAACCCGTAATGTTCCAGGAGATATCTCACTAAGTGCGGCATTAAGGTCTGTCCCACACCTGTGCCCACGTTTGCGAGACCCACTGCACGGCTTTTCTTTAGCTTGAAGTAGCTATTTATAGCCACAAATGACGAGTTTTGGATGAAACCCAAACCCAGACCTGGAACAAGCATAATAGATTAGTTGTTTTACCAAACATTCCGGATATCGGGGAAAATACCTCATACCCGTGGTCGGATTTGGGCCATTCTAAATATTAATGAATGGATTTTGGTGTTATGGTATAGTTTATTTGGGTCGTAGTGCTTATTAGCTGTTGGAAATTGTAATAACAAAATACGGTTCAAAAATATACGTATTATTCTACTATGTATAGATACATAGTTGTCTAAACTCGTGTTCATTTAAAACGATAAAGCCCACACATTCGAGTACCGCATTATGCTAAACAATAAACATTGAACAACAAACAAGGCAGGCTTACCTAATAGGACGCCGTAAGTTAACACCAAGTGCCAGATATTTGTCGAAAATCCGCTAAAGAAGATTCCGCTGGTACAGAAACACGCTCCGGTTACTGCAACAAATCTTGTTGATGTCAACTTAACTACGGCCCCGGCTATCGGGCCGCCGAAATTCGTGACGAACAACATAGTACTCATTACGATGGCAGCGCCTTGGGTTCTGTGGCCCATCGCCTCTAATGCGTCTCCGTATAACAAACTGAATAATGACAGCATAGACTGGTTGAATATCTGCAAAATATTGTCTAATGTCAATTATAAAAACCAATGACATTATAAGAATAATAATAAATATTATGGCATCTCGTCTTTTAAGGAGTAGACAGAGGGGTATAGTGTACCCTGTACATATATCATAACAGTTTTTTCCGGTTACGTTATATGTTCTATGTGATTGCGGTGAGCCCATTGTAATAATATTAAAAGTAAGTTATTTATATCTGTTAAGAATACAAGTTCAACATTCAAAGTCCAACAATTGTATAATATTTAACAATGACATTATGTTGTTTTTATGACTCACAAATGAACGTAAGGATCTGTACTAATTGTAGGCCTTTATTAGAAGTTTTTATTGAAGGCGTTGAGACTTTCCCTTTCTGAATACAAAGACGTTAAATACTTAATAGTAACTTAAAGAAGTTCAAAGTCTTAATAGTATTAGACAAGTATCAAATAATGTGGTAATTTCAATGGATTTCAGGTTTCCAAACTTTCACTTTTCTTATCTAGTTTTCGCGGCTACATAACAAGACTACTGATCGTAGAATTTAAAGTTGAGTACGTAGTTCGTTCATAATTTCGTTTTAGATCAAATGGTGAGACCGAAAAATTCAATTATCGACTTATTTTGAGTTCAAGTTGCCACGTTTTGTAATAAGAGAATCAGAATATTGGCATGCGTGATATTTACTATATCTCTATGTATTATTTAGGTCTAATAACAATACGAGTACATATGTATATGTTGGCAAAATTGTTGATATGCTATGAATGTTATCACGACATGTAGTGTATAAATTTTCGTTAGTAATACAAATATTGTTGTTATCTACGCTATAATCGATAACAGTTGCTGATAATTTGGTAGCTTCCCTAATGTGGGGTTATGTTATAAATTAAACGGCCTTCTAGTTACATTGCCAAAGATAATGATTAAGTATATCCTGTTGTTGTTATTGTCTTATTTACGACGAATTATTTTGCGAAGATATTTTCTCGTTTGGCATTTTGGCCTGCTCTATTTTTAAGAAAATATAGTTTTTGTTCTTACTAACTTTCTTATGTAACTTATTATTTTGCAAGTTTTTATGTATATATTTATATAAACATTTAAAAGACGGACTAATGAAATTGGCCCAGCCGTTCTTGAGATATGCACATTCCAGCGCACATTTATGATATCTACATAGTTTTTCTTACCTATATACAAAATGTATATAAAATGTATAGTCATTAGTCAATAGTATATTTTTGATAAGATACAAAGAATACCTACATAATTTACTTACATTAGACAATGCCGTTCCAAATAACACCATCCAGCCCCATCCTCCATCGGGTGGTACTAATTTGATTACTTTCTGAGTCTTTGGCGATGACACCAACGCGTTCTTTTCCGATGCCATATTTGTTTTTTTTTTTTATTTTCTTGACAAATTAACTTAGCATAATTTGATTCTCAAATGTTTCTGTTGACTTCTGTAACAAGAGAGAGTGAATAAGTTTATTATGTTGTGTTTTCTGGGATTTTTTGGGAGGTGTTAAGGCCTTGACATGTTAAGGTTTTATGTGTATAAGGATTAATAGTGACTATATATTTTTTTACTTCAGCAAATATCTAAATACGATTGCTGTTCAAGTTAGCATGCCACGCTCTTGGTTCATAACAACGGATTCTTCTTTGTGTTAAATGGAATGTATCACGAATCTTACATCATATTCATCATCATAATTATCATATTTCGTAAAATTATCTTCTAATGAAATTAAAGGAAAACATAGATAAACAATATTCACATCACATCAACAGCCTATAAATGCCCACTGCTGAGCAAAGTCTCTTCTCACACGGAGAAGGTTTAAGCGCTAATCACCACGCTTGCTAATTGCGTGTTGACGATTTTAAACTTATAATTACAAATTATAAGCAAAGGTTTCCTTACGATATTTTCCTTCATCGCTTATCATTAGTGTTTAAATAATCTTAGATAGTACATAGGTATAACTTGGAAAAAGTCACATTGGTATTTGCCATTGGTAGGTTTCGAACCCGGCCCTCCATGCAGGAGAAGGCGTCTTAAACCTCAGGGCCACAACGATACTAACCAATAACACATTGCATTATTTCAGAACAAGAAAAGACAAGCAAAGATGATGAGTGATCAGAGCTTCTACCTCGAAAAGGAAAGTCATAAGTGAAAGTATTTTTACACTGAAACAATATATTTCCACTTCATAGATAGTAGATAGTACAGTCATGTGATTTATTAGTGCGATTACACCTACGCTTTAGCGATACGCATATTTCGAGCAAATATTGGTATGGCCTATATATAGCTATTCCGGGTATATATTTCTGAATGAGAAATTAATTTGAAATATATCACCCAAGAATTTATGGAAAATTGTATTATATCTATGACAAATCTAGTACTGTGGACGCAAATATGGTATTTCTACATAATAAGCATAGGTACTAAAGTTAAAGCTTAGTTACAGTTACAGTTAATAAGATAATGTTTCGAATTCAATTATGTGTCGATTATTTTAAAATGCTAGTTTCTAACAGCATAAGACGGCTTCAAACAAGCAGACGCAACACTATAGAACCATGTTCTAACTATGCATAAATATATAGATACAAAAATCGCATCAAATCGTCCCGTTGCGTCGTAAAACAAAGACAAAAAAGCACTTTCACATGTATAATAACAATGTCAAATACTTAACGAAATAAGGATATAATAAAGATGATGCATTACAGCTTGAAGTTAACGTAAGATACCAATATTTGTATAGCTACGTAGTTTTACGAGTGGGGTGTGTCCGATAATGAAAGTATATAATTAGATCGAGTTCATATAGCGACCTTTTTATCTGAAGTCAAATGTAATAACGGAATTATACAGTTTTTTGCCCTATCTTCATATTTGTTAAGAAAACAAGTAAATCTTTGCTTTGTTATTGCTATGAATCGTGTGGGGCCGATGATAATGTGCAGATTATATTGTATTTGTGCGAATAAGGAGTGTGATTAAAAAACATCTGTTCTAATTAATCATTCTTTGTAAGATATGCATGCATAGGTGTTCGTATCATTGTATTGTTTGATAATAATATTTTTTTGTGTTATAATCAAAATGCTAAATACATAAAAAGGATTAGAACTAATTATCACTTTCATTTCTTACTTTGCTTTTTGCGTGTGTTTTCTTCTAAAAACATACTCTTTAACACTGAACTAAAATAAATTAACAGACGTACAACAGCAAACATGAACATACATAAATACATTATAGTACTTACAAATAAAATTAAGCTAACATGTAAAAAATAAAAGTATTTTTTTATGTTGCTTCCATTCTTTGGAAATCACATCACTGTTATGTAGGTACACACACTAGGATTATCTCTTGTGCCGTGGGTGCGTTTACTGAAACAACATCTGTGGGCCACACAAAGAGTTGCTCCGTGCGGGAATCGAACCCGCTATACATCGCAATGTATAGCGGCAGCCAGTTGCCCAGCCACCGCGTCAACCGTGCAGTCACTATTTTAATGAACATTAGAATTCAAGGAAAATACAAATGCAAATATATTGAATGTTATAGTACGCTTTGTATTTGTTACTAGTTCACTAGAGCACATCTATTAAATAGGATAAGGCTAAAGATCAAGTACCTATTGATCCTATCCTATCACTTAGTGTTATCAGCTAATACTATGTACTGTATAGTAGGTAACTACTTAGTATAAGGTCAAAGACCGAGCGCACGTTCCGTGAGAATATTTTACGCAACAATATGACAATGTATAGAGCCATAAACAAGTGAATAGCGACTCTAATTCTTAGGGATAGGTTTGAAATGAAATTAAATAATCAATTGGTGAATTACAAGAGACATGCGAAGGATCGTAGGGAATTATGAATGCAATGAGTAAAATACTGAATTTAAACAGTATCATAATGTTAGTTTTTTTTTAATTAAAAAACAGGACCTAAAAATGAGGTTGTTAGTTTTATGCTAATTATTTTTTTACTTAAAATGATTTGTGTCTTTGTCTTACATAGGTTTCTCTCTTTATAGGTACCTAGAGGTCTATAAATAACAAACATGTCCATTTTATTAAAACAACATGTACAGTAAAATAATGTTACCATTCTGATGTTATTACAAACAATTGTTGCGAACCGTTTAATTCCTCGTATTATGTGAGATGACCTCTCCTTGTTATATTTTTGTTAATGATAGCAAAGACGTCAAAGTAGTGCCAGTGATAACAATTGGAATTTGGTTATTCCTAATCACGTTTTTATAAAAAAAACTAGCTGACCCGGCAAACGTTATTTTGCCATTGAAATAATTACTAAAATGGCTATTAAAAAATAAGGGATGATCGTAGAAGGGTGAAAATTGAGGATTGTATGTATTTTTGTGTGTTGTACCATAAAAAATAGAAATTTAAAAATTAGTCTAAAAAAAAAATTATGGTTGGACTACCCCTAACATTTAGGGGGATGAAAAATAGATGTTGGCCGATTTTCATAGATACCGGATAAGCACAAAAAAAATTCGTCAAAATCGTTCAAGCCGTTTCGGAGGAGTATGGCAACGAAAACTGTGACACGAGAATTTTATATATTACACAAGTATTTTCTTTCGTCAATTTTTTTTAGGTAAATTATACTAGCGTGGGGCAACTTTTTTAAATAAATATTTAGTTGTGTAATAAAACCTAGAATTTTTTTTCTTATTGTAAGTAAGTACTCTTAACATATAAACAACAAGATTTAGAAAACAATGGAATTTAAATAGATGTGTAGTGCACGGTCGAATATCCTTCTTAACTTATAAGTCTCCGAGAGAAACTGACAGACATCGTCGAACCGCGATTGAAGAAAAAAGGGGAAAATATGAAAATGTTATTCTCTTACGACCCCGAAAATGCAAAATATCCGGCAGGGATGAGGTTGTATACGGTTTTTTTTGTATTTTTTTTCCACAAACACGGTCCTACATTGATAACACCGTATCTACATTTCGTGTTTACCTACATATGACGCATTAGAGGTGTTCTTTGCACTCGTACGTGCGAACTTCCGCCATCCGAACAATATTTACGGGACTTTGAACTGTATATTGATGGAATATGGCACATTGTTACTATTGTTTCTGTGTGAAAAATGCCAGTACGCCAGAATCTTTTACCAGTTCGGTGGAAACTGTATTAAGTTTTGATGTAATGTGACTTGTGAGTTATTTATTGTATTTTGAAAAAATGGAAATTGTTAAAGTTGGCTCCTTGTTTATTTTCTATTAAACTTACTTCGAAACCTTTGAAAAACAGTGATTACAGAAACAACCCCTTTACTTAAAATGATTTTTACTTACTTACTACTTACCGTGGTATGCACGGGTATTAAATTTTCAGCATCAAAAATACGTCCATTTTAATTTGTTCATCCACAAGTAAGGACTAAGAACTAAGAATATTGCGTTAAAAAACTTTATGAATTGCAATTAAATAGTAAATTCTATATTCCTGGAAACTTGACGCCGGAAAGTTTTCATTTTTGACAGCTATTTAGTTTGGCTACCTTATTTGTCGACCATTTTCCTCCTGGAATTTCCACAGTGAGCTTTGAATTCAGTTGAAAATAAGGTAAATATTTGGTGGTAAAATTGTGGAAACTATGTAATTATATATGGTTGATGTTTCACTGCACATAACGTAATTCTACGTTTTTGATTCCCAAAGACTCTACATATATGTATATGTATAGGTATGTAGGTATGTACCTAGTCAAATGTTACACAAAAATCTATAAACCACAATTTTTAGGATCGTTATAATTATATTGCTTTAAACTAATCGTCTTCACGTTTTATATTTAAAAAAATAAGAATTATTGACTACTTAAGAAAAGTAATTTCTTCAACGAACTACTGCACAAAGTTATCCATCATTCAGTCAGCATTATTATGATTGATTTCCAAAAAATGTGTATATATATATTATGTGTATGTGTATATTCCTGATACTTCTTTTTACTACAGGTGTGATAATAAATAAATGCGATTAAGATAACTTAGCATTCAGTCATGAGTTATTAACGTGATTCATATATTATATACTTAAGTACCAAGTTGCAAGTATATACCTAGTAACCAAAGTTGCTAAGTCATGATCCTCTCCATGTGATTTTGGTAATATTTTTTTTTAGTTTAGTACTTGTTATATATTGTTTATGTTATCTGTGGCAAGCTGGCCACTTTCAATAACTGGAAACTTGTTTATGATCTTCTTTTGTTTAGAAAATATATGAGCGTGTTTCTGACTAGTTTGTTTAATTCACACGATAAATAGTTATTGCATTGTATATTGAAAATATATAACAGTACTTACTTACCTTGAGCTACATTGTGTTTACACTAAAGTTATAGCTAAAGAATAATTAGTTCATTTCTTTGAATTTA